TTTGTCAAACTAATTAGAAAGTTCCAGTTTAAAACTTGAATTTTTTTTTTTGAAATGTATTCTCTCTCCATGACAAAAATATTTTTCCACAGTGGTTTTTTGGAGGGGGGAGAAGAGCTTGGAAATTCACGTTGGTTCTGCTCAAAATCTTGCTTTAAGCTTTTTCCAACAAGTAAAAAAAACAATTTGGTTAAACAGGTCAATAGTATGGTGAGTTTGTTGCCTGACAGTAAAGTCTAAAGTTTGGTTTGCAAACTTTGGAGGAAGAAAAAGATGGGAAGGAGTGCAAAATTTTGGAAAATGTTTGAGAGCAGGATATTTTTTATTCTCTACCGTAAAAACAGATGACTTTTAGTTCACTTTTCTCTCACATGATTTTGAGTTACATCCCGACTTCTCTTACGGTCACATAACGTTTACTCATAGCATCTAAAAATTCCTGTGAGAATATACAGGAGCCTGCTTCTTCCATTTTAGTCAGAAAGGGTGGCAAATGCTAGTCATGCCCTCTGTCATGCCTCAACATCTCTTAACAGGACCACAGCTATGAGGCTGAACGTCTAGGCTCAACAGTTAGAAGTGTGTATCCGTATGTCTTGCGGGATAGACTCCTGAACACTTACCAACATGCAGATCCATTTTCAGTAAAGGTTTGGCCCACAATAGAGGAGAAAAACGTTTACAGGTCAACTAGGGCCTTCAGTGTCCAACCTGAGCCATCACAGTCTGGTTATTCAGAGGTTTGCCCACCCATCCCCCTCAATTCAGCTACAGCAGAGTGATCTGCATCTCCGAGCTCTAGACCCTCAGTGTCGTCAGGCACGTAGTCAAAATTATTGGCTAACACTGAAACTTCAGGCTTACATATAAAGCTGGAGATAGCTGGTAATGCACACAGTAAAGAATAACCTGCTATTGTTAATATTAAATCTAGACCTACAGCTATATGCAAACGTAACACTTTGCCTCCTAAGAGTGGAAAACAATGCTGCAGATTGCAGTAGGTAACACAACAAAGCTGCTGTCAGGAAAAGTTCGATTTTAATAGCAATCACACTACATTATCCAATAGCTCCAGGCAACGCCACCATTGTACATTTAGGAGATGAGGTGTAGATGGGATCTCCGTCCTCACCGCACGGAGGGCGGCACAATCCCATGAAGGAAACATCACTGAGGAGCCATCAGCAATTTCTTTCCAGGAGGGGAAAGATTTTACATTCTGTGTAATATTTCACTTCCATTTCAAAATATTTAATTCTAGAAATCAATAACAAAAATGAGCTAGATAGAGGGGGGAAGAGTAGGAGGAGGCACATCTGATAACCGGAATTGTAGGTTCCCAGAAATTTTTGCAACTTTAATTTTATTCCCATAAACTGAAGTGGAAGTCAGAATGCTGCAATTTCTCAGAGTGATTTTTTTTTCCTTCTTTTAACATATTTTTCCTCTGGTCTATCAAAAACTTAAAACTAAAAATAAGTAGTAATACAATCAAACAACATTTTAGAAAAAAAAAACACCAATAGAGTGGATAAAAAAAATCAATTGAAATATTACATTACAAAAATGGTGAAACAAAATGTCATAACACCATCAAAATCTTTTCATCTTTTCACGTCAAAGAAAATCTGAAAAACAAAGAATTGATACAAAAAATTTGTATTTTTAGGAAATAGCATTTTTCATTGGAAAAGCTCTTCATTAGAAAATGTTAGATCAGGTGTTAACAACTTTATACAAATTATTCAGAATAAAAATATTCTATTTTGCATTTTTCACATTCAATAAGTCACTTTTTACACATTAAGGCCTGAGATTCTTATACTATTTCAACATAAGTCTCCACTGATGCATTGCAAGCTTAGTCCTGTCCATAAAATATAGCAAGTTTCCCATTTAGTTCTGAGTTACTTTATGCTATAAGTTAGTAGCTGGTTCAGGGCTGAGAAGAGAAACCTTCCACAGGCACAAAATGGCTTAAGCCTAGCAGACTGATGTGGATGGAGGCTTTTTTTTTTTTTTTTTTAATCCTAGAGGAAATATTTTTTCGATTATATCAACATAACTGCGGCCCTTTACATTCCTGTTACATCCCCTGGGTATTTCAGAATATAACCCATACTTTCTAAGTGGTTTTAAGCTTCTAAATACTTTAGAAAGGAATATTCATCTTCACAAAAATTGCTTGCCAGTAGCTACTAAACTAATCGATGCTGTTCTTCAAAGCTGAGGCCTGAAAAAGTTAGTTTAGTACTTTTCTAGAAACAAAGAGAGAGCTAGAAAAATACTTCATTTAAGAATTCACTACCAGTAAATCTTCCTAAGCTTTTAAGCCTAACCGGGTTTCATCTGGTAGAGGTTTACGCAATCTCTTTGGGCAAAATACACGCGAATAACAAAGCAAGCTACAGAAAATAGCACTAACCAAAAAAAAAAAAAAAAAAAAAAAAGGGAGGAGGGGGAGGAGTAGCACTGAGCAGCACTTGCCAGCTATGAAGCAGCCATCAATTCGTAGGATCGTATTTCTGGAGCTGGTCTTGGAGTTGCTTTTTAAAACTGTTTTAGAGTTGGGACACCATAAAAATTCTGCCTTCTCCCCCCACCCCCCCAACACAACATCTAACCATCCCCTCGGCAGCTTGCTTGGCAAGCCTAAGAAGACCCAGAGACCCTGAAAGTCCCAGCTCCTTAGCTCACGTTGTTCCTCCGTATTTTGTCTTTCCAGGGCTTCCCAGGTCCCTCTCTCTCACTCCTGCCAACTGATAAACTTTGGGAACAGGCCTGGGAGCCAGGAAGCCGCTGGAGCTCCCGGGATCATGACTTCTCTCTAACCAGCACTTGCCTTGCTGAAGAAGCCCATCCAGTACTCTGCACTTTTCTGTGAAAAGATGTACATCTGTGAAAAGATGTACAGACACTGCTGTGGCTGGGCAGAGTGCTAGATTTTAGTCCAAACAAATTCAAATCTGAGCCTTTCCAAATCGAGATGGATTTTCAAATCCATGACAAAAGAATGACCTCTCTGTACCAGCCCAGGTAGGGCTTTTTTTTTTTTTTTTTTAAATGTTAAAAAAAGGTATGCATATTTTCGGTGGTTGCTGCCAGTATCTTTGAGTGGCACAAAGTTTACATTTCTACCAAGGAGTTCAGTTATCTCCAGTAAACAAAGAAATACTGTAGCAACAAATCATAAGACGCATATCATAAAAAAGATTTACAGCTGCTACTCTGTGGCACACTATAACCTTTCTATCAGTCTCAGAGGTAGAGACAGAAATTCACTCCAGCAGGGCAGGCCAGCTCATTCCAGCTGGAAGGCAGGACAGGAAAAGCACCCTCCACAGACATCCAGCATGTACTTGTTTATTTAGCTTGCAGAGAGCTGTGGACTACATCTGAGGAAAGCTGAGTGCAGGGGAGGCACAGACCCAGCAACTGCTTCCTTGTAACAGGGACAGCTGAGTGGAAAGGCAGCAGATCTGTAGCCTAAACCAGATATAGCTGTCACACTGCTTCTCCGGAGGACGTGTTGACACAGAAAACAGCTGATCCAGCTTCCTTTTCCCCGTACCTCAGTTTCCCCTCACTCTTTCTCCACTAAAAGAAACCAATTCAAAGATCGGCAAGTCATAACTCTATTGTTGAGATCGGGAAACTCCCTAAAACTTTCTAACATCTTATTTGCGTGACAAGTTTAACAAATAAAAACTCCGCTGCGTGTATAACAAATAGCAACAACTGAGTAGCCTGGTATGAATGGCTCAACAGCAACCATGAGGCTTAAAAAGAATTTGTACCTTTCATTTAGGAAACTAAAGTAACATGTAAATCAATCATCTCCAGATGTTTGGCTTCCTTTTAATCTATAGCAACATAAAACATATCTGATTCCACGTACAAAAGTCAATATAATAAACTGATCAACTAACATCAGTTCCTATAGTAATTAAAATACAAGAAGCCTAGATCAGTATTACAAATTCCTAGCACTCAGTAAGCCTACCCTTATCCCAAAACACCGTTCCTGAACAACAACAAACCACTTCTAACATTCAAAGCACAACAAGGATTGACTAAGTCATGTTATTGGCTTCTGTTATTGGGCTTACACTGCCTGCCACGAGTAAACTTCATTAACGTGAAAGTAACTTGGATACCTTTGTACAAACTGCCATCGCCCCTTAGCTAAACAGATTGAAACTGAAGTAACTCTAGATGAGAATTTGAAGGGGACAAGGAGTTACTCCAGATAATTCGCATCAGGACAGCTGAGGTAAAATTCGAGTTCTCTAGCCACCTTCCCCTTTTAATGTAAGCCGGCCAAATCCTACTGACATCGAGGGAATCGATCAGTTTGAACTTGGATCTAAATACAGGCCAAAAGCTGCCATTTTGAAGAATTTTTTTAAAAAAAGACAAGACAGATGCCAGTACCGGCAGGTCTCTAAGTGTTATGCGAGGAAAGCAAGTTTTCCTCAAGATTCACCTCTGAGTCCTGAAGCACTGCCAGCTCGCATAGTGTCATCACACCCCTTGCCAGATTTGATGTTTTATTTAAAGTGGCAACTTCACAGGACATATGATTATGTAAGATTTACAGTCCCTGCTTAACTAAGGGAAGTTTCGTGCTGTCAGAGTTTGGAAACCTAAATTTGTGAGCATAATCAGTGACTAAAATACAGAAATCAACTTTTAAGAATAATGATAAAGCCTGGCTATTTTAAAAATCAAGAAGGGCAGCCCAATCTCATCACCTTCTTATATCTGAAAAAACCCATACTGGAAAGCGACAAGAGAAATATTAATAAACAGGTCACTATTTCATGATTTTCAAAAGGCAGAATTAAAAAAGCAGAAGAGAGCATTTTGTACCAAGAAATGAAGATGCACCGTTTCTTGACACAAGTGGTTAGCCAATTTACATTCCTTTGTACCATGTTACCATTTAGTTTACTAATACAGTAATAAATTAAAATGATAAGAATAAAGTTACTAACCTGTGGGAAAAGAGAGTAAGTTGCATTGTCAATAGTGAAAGAATATAAAAATTCCCCATCGAACCAGAGATTCTTTCCCATGGGGGAGTTTTGCTTTGTCATGGCAAAGAGCTGACCAGGGTCACAACATTCTTCCAGTAGTTTCCTAATAAAGGCAACAAAAAGAGAGAGAGAGATGTATGAATTAGAGTTTTGCCACGTCATCTCTAAAGACTATCCTTAACTGATGGTCCAGGCACCTGAGATTCTGGCTTAAGAAAGCCAATCATTGTCCCAGCTACCTGATGAACAATAACTGATTCTACATTGCACATCAGAACAATAAGTACTCATGGAGAATTCAGAAAATAAGAATATTTAGAAATTCATATTCTAATTTGGTAATCTTTTTTCCTTTTTTTTTTTAAACTTATACAAGAGCCAGAAGTCCTGTTTTTATTCTAGAAAGTCTTAGAAATAGCCAGTAGAAAAATTTAAGCCATCCGTTCACTTTTGAGTGGCATAAAATGAGAATAAGATTTATTCAAAGAAAGTCCATCCTCTTGAACCAATTTTAATTAATAAAAATCACCAGACTCCAACATATACAGAAATCAGAGAAGCACCTTTGAGAATCAGAGCCGAAGCACAAGAAAACTTATTCATAAAGAGCAGTTATGTAAGTTTAGTATGGAAACATTTGGCATTCCTCTCCAGTTACTAAATATGCTTGTGCTACTATCACAGCAGTATTAGAGCCTGCTTTCTAAGTGAAGTCCAACTTGAGTCATCGCAGTTTGCTATATATATTCTGTGGATATTACACTTCTTGTTTCCCCACTGAAACTGCATATCCTCTTATGCATTCACTTCCTCAAAATAGTTATTACTGAGCTTGACTAGAAATCTGAGAGCTGGCTAGGTGGTTGAAGGTTGTACTGAGCAAAAATTCTATACCAAAGCAAGCTCAGCAATTAATGTCCTAAAACCAGAATGATGAAAAAGCTCTAGATATCTGCAAAGTAGGAATATAGCATCTTTCTAAAGCTAGTAAGGGAGAATCTCTCTAATGGAGGAGCGTTCTTCATATAAGTTTTTATGTATAATAGATATATGTAAAATCTACGTTATAAAATGTCATTGCAGCACAGTAATAAATTTATATAATAATAAATATTAATATATTATTTCTTTTAAAGGGACTCCTAAACTGACTGACCTCATTTCCACTGGCTGCAGAAGAATTGACGGTGGTAGGAAGAAGAAAAATACCAGTCATTAGAGATTGCTTAAATGTCTGGTATAACTCTTCTCCCTTACTAAAGGGGAGAATCTATTTAAAAGCAAGAAATCATTCACAAAAATGTTTATTTGTTTTCACACAAAAGATTCACAACTACTTTTCTTCTATAAAAATGAATACTAAAAAGATTAATGTTTTCCCCATCAAAAATTTTATTTTCCATAAATTCACAGCTTTCTGTTGCTGTGTGAATACTATTTTCCATATATATTTCAGCTGAAAATTGATCAGGACATTAAAGTGGATTTGTTTTAATCTCTGCAAAAAAAGGAAACAACTTGAAAACGTTGCATGACAAACAAAAAACATCTGGGACAAAACTGTTTGTGGAGCTGTTTATCCTCAAATTGCTATTTGTAGAGGTGTTTTGACTCCCTTCTGACCAGAACACAGTAATGTGTTACCAGAGAGGCAATTTCCGTTCTTGGACACGCCATGGGTCAACCTACATCCACCACAGAAAGGCTTCACAATATCCTTCCACTGAAGCCCAGATAAAGCCTTCATCACAGCACTGTGAAGGTTAAACTAAAGGTCATTTGAAATCTCTCCCCAAATTACCTTTGCAAAACACGCCAAGACAGATATAGAATAGAATATTGCTCCAGATAAAAGACAGAGGAGCAAAGACTTCTCTGGTTTTCCACAAACTCCGGTTTGCAGCCTTTGGAAAGCTATTTAACCCCCTTGTCAACTGGAGGGGGGAAAAAAACCCACACAACTCAGTTTTGCCTCACTTTCCCCTCCTTTTCTTTGTATTTTCTATCCCACTGCAACTTTTTCAAGAGAGTGAGCATAAGACAATCCAAGAGCAGCTGAAGTCTCTAAGAACAACTATATGACAAAATTAAAACTTCAAAGTGAAAGCCTGTAACTCATTCCTTCACTGGAAGTCTGGTCTGAGCAGGAGGCACAAAAATAACAGATAACTCACTGAAGAACACACAGGGAATACCTTACATTAACAAACCTTTCCTTATCCAGGGTAAACTGATGAGCTAAGGAAAAGCTCTTTGTACGATTTTTTCCCCCATCAGCTGACTAGGAATATATACCTACTATTTACTCTCCTCAAAAATGCATTCTTCCAGTTTTCATCGAGTCCTTCATTAATAAACCTATTATGAAAAGCAGTAGGCGTCTCCTAGAAAGTCCAAAGATATGCAGGTCACTAGTGCAAGCACTATGAATCCATATATATATTAGCACAAAGATCTTGCGCACTCACATGTGCTTTTTATGCAGGATCACACACTCTGAATTGTTTTGCAGCCCTTGATTACAATGTAAGATTAACATATCATACCAGAATTTACAGAACTGCAGCAGCTTTTAGCCAAGAATTTCCACTGTTTCCAAGCATTTGTTCACTCGCAGGACAAAATTTTGAGTCAAAAGTACATTATTTATCTCCAATTCAGTGGAGACCTGTGAGAGGAATTGAATTACCTGAATATTGGTGTTTCAAAGGTACTTGGGGCTCTTAGCTCTGAGAGCTCTTAAGAGACAAACCCTGCGTGTGAGAGAAGCAGGAGCACAGTTACTCTGAGAATCTCACTTCAGGCCTCTATGATTTCAGCCTGAACTGGGGCACCAGGCAAGGCACCAACACTTAAGTGGCTCTTGCACATAAACTTAAGCAGCAACCTGTGCATGAGGCATGAGCTGAACAGCAATTTTGCGATGTTAGCCATATCTCCACTTTGTTGAGGTTATATCAGCAGTTGTACATCAAAAGAAGCAGAGTGAAACTGTTGGTGCTGAGGACCCTACATCCACATAATATGTAATTTCATACACAAAGTCAGTGGAAGACTCGGATGAAAATCCCAAACTCCCTATTCCTGATCTTAAAACAAAAAAACTTTTCACTTTCGTTTTAATTTTCAGCCAGCTATGCTTAAATTTACTCTGGTTTGACTCCAGTCCCAGCCGGTAATGGCTCAGTAACTAGTTCAAGATGGGTTCAGACCGGCAAATATAACATCTAAAATCAGAAATGGGTACTTCTCCAGCATGGACTGTCACCCAGGAGGTTACAGCCCTTTAGCTGTGGCTTCTCCACAGCTGGAGCAGCCCCTGCATCCCCAGCACAACACTGCAGCTTCTCATCAGCTCCCCGCGGCAGGCCGAAGGGGCAATGCTGTGCTGCGGGAGGCATGCAAGCACCGCGCCACCGAATAGCAGCTCAGTTCTGCTCTCCAGCTCTTCCTTTCTCTTTTAAATCCGTGCAAGAGGGATGCACGGCAGTAAGGAAAACCCCAGGTTGCTGAGGCACTGCTTGTGAGGGAGCAACAAGAGCAGGGCTGCCCCACAAGGGAGCACTGAAGCTTAGCTCGGGCTCCTGGAGCAAGGGACAGAGGGTGTGGGTGTGCGAGTGCGGGTGTGAAGGGGAATCCCATTCCAGGTGAGGCTGGTCAGGGCTGTTAAGGCTACAGTTGTCCTCAGGGCCCTGACATTGCAACACTCCCTTTTCTGTCCTGAGAGAACAGCCATTTTGCAACAAATCCCTTCCCACTCGCTGAACTTGGAGCCGAGCACTGCAGAGCACTGCATCAGTGCAAAAGTGAAGGCTTGGCTGCACACGCTGAAGAGGGAAAGACGCTACAGTACAACGCTCTCAGTAGGTCCCAGCAAGTGCCAACCGTCCCTATGCTGAGCAGGAGCACCAGCACGTCATTCAACCATTGTTCCAAAATAGTAACAAGAAACTTGAATTATTACTATTATTACTATTCCATTACAGTTTGGCTTTAATGGTAGCATTAAAGTAATGACTGAGGTTCAGGTTCTAGTTTGAGATAAAAACGACTATTTAAACCAATTGTTTCAGTCAGATTCTGGCCAGCTCCCAGGATTTAACTGCTCTTGCGCTAGCCTATATTCAGTTATTACAGAGTGGAGCCACGTGTTGACAGCACAAAACTGAAGGACCTGGGCTGACAAAACCTCCTTTTGTTCACATTTCAGTTCACATTCACCTCAACTTCCCATGTTTTGCTTTGGGATCAAATAAGTCTGAACACTCAAAGAAAAATGAATCTGCCTTTCAAGTTTCAACTGGCATTTAGCCAACACCATTACTCCTAGCCACATAGCCATGGATTTGTAGCCCTACTGAATCGCAAAGTACGGGTGGTCTTTTGGGTTCAGTAGGGAAGGTCTGGACAGCTCTGTTGGAGTGGAACTCCTTAACTGCTTCTATCTACTTATCACACGGTACAGGCAAGAGGCTATACCGATAGCCTCTCAGACTCCTGAAATAAAGCCACACCTACTTCCCAGCACAGGCACACGTAAGGGACCCTGTGCTAATGCCCCTATGAGAATTACTTAGGGATTAGTAGCAGTAGGGGGTGTGAAACTGAACTGGTCTGACCACCTCCAACACCCCAAATTGCAAAATCTAATCCTGAAATGCTCTTAACTCATCCTCAGAGTAGCATGTCCCTAAGACAACATGTTGCAAGAATTTTTGGTGGCAGAAGAGAAACCACAATCACTGACAAACGGTTAAAATTTTTCCTGTTACCAACTTGCGCACAACAGTTCAGAATTTGAATTTGTCTCAGTTCAGTTTCTGGCAAAAAAACATTTTTTTTAAAAAAAAAGATCCCCCTCTTCTAAAAATTCACTCCCACCCATCCTTCTGACGAGTGGGAAAAGCTAGAGTTTCACAAATCTCTTGCTTAGAACAAAGTTTTTCACTCCTTTCATCATTCTTGTGGCTGTTCTCTTTTCTTCAAAATCCCCCTCTACATATTCCAAGCCTAGAAAGAGTATTTCTAGCATAGTCACCCCCTGCCAACTACAGGGACAAAATGACCTCTCTGTTATTACCCATGTGTCCCACGTCTGAGGCC